TTGAATCCGTCTACTATTGAGGAATATTTTAAGATTCCAGCACAGTGATGGAATGTGTCATCCACATATCTTCACCATAACCTAGGAGTAGCAGGATTAAATGTTCTAAGAGCCTTATGTTCCCAACTTCATAAAACTGTATGGTCGCACGTCTAAATTTAAAAATTCTATGATACCATACCTGGCACGTACGTATTTTATGTGATGAAAATAACGTCAGGCAAGAATTGACTAACCTTTTTTCATCTAGTAAATAAACAATCTCCTCCATCCATCCATCCTTATATACCTTCAAGTTTTACTTTTATTATTTCTATTATATTTATGGTCCTGTTGCTTCTTTGTTTTTACTTTCATAACTGCAAACACCAACTTATCTCTATGACTGCTGTAATCTTTGTTTTTTCCCTCACCATATCATGTAAAGAGAACATTATATGCAACATTTTTAATCATGCAAGGATTTGTACACCACATTGACAATACTGTGTGAAGCAAGCTCACGTCAATTTTCACTTGTATTATTATCATTACCTTAGCTGATATAATTATTATTATTTCCATTTTATATGCTGCATGTTTTTGACATTACCCCTTTTGTAAATGTGGAAAATTTTCTGTGTGACTAATTTTTATTTATAATTTGAGGAAATTAGATGCAATATTATTGTGATTAATGCTGAAAATTCCATTCTGTATCACAAGTACTGTTTTTGGAATAAAGTAAATCATTATTATTATTATTATTATTATTAAATTATCCTTAAATATGTCCGCTACTATTTGGGATATTGGTGATCCTATTGCCACCCCATTCGTTTGTTCATATAGTTCATTTTGAAATTTGAATACAGTCGAGGTTAGACATAACTGAACACCTAAAATTACTTCATCAATCAAGCGAGGACTTAGTCCTACTTCTGGAGTTCAAGATCAATGTTCACTTCCTTCCTATCTCTGTTTTTCAAAATCACTGTGTAAAATTAATTTTTTTTTTAAATATACCAATCTCTTAATTTTCCCTGGGAAATTTGTTTTTTTCAAAGTTATTCGTGAACTTCGAACCTTTCTGCGAACGCGCGTGCGCGTACATGTGTGTATGTGTATGCGTGAACTTATACAAAAATAATTGATTCTCTTATCGTTTTAGTGACGGACGCATCTGATTGGTAGATTTGCATTTCTCCTCTTCTGATTGGTAGTTTAATAACGATGATTATGATTTCTCCCAGTTTGCTGTTTTGTTTTTTCAATCGTCCTGATCCAAAACGATCTTAGATGAATTTATTGATACACAAATGATGATGACGATGGCGGTGATATCTGTATGTTGATGATATCATAGTTTCTTTTTTGGAATAAGGCGCGTTTTTCATCTCCTTCAAAATTTAAACAAATGACCTTTTGTTCACTATCGTATTTTACAATCTATCTTACTACTAGTGGAAGTCACTAATTTTTTTTAATTGAAGGAAGTTTTATGGATTAGTAGAAAAGAAATCCCTCGGATACGAAAGACGCAGGTGAATTTTAGAAAAATACAATCTCACATATAGTCTTCCAACCTCAATTTGTTGTCAAGGTGATGTTCAGAAGATACTGAACTATTGGACTGTAAATAAAATCATCAAGTTATCACACTATTTCTCAGTTAATACCGATCACTATTATATCATAATAAAGGCGAAATTTATTGCTCTTTTATTCCATGGAAGAGATAAAACCTACTGTAAATGTTGTTCCACCTGATAAATTGGATGTTGAACAGTCAAAGATTGTTACAAGAACCACAAATCCACCGTCTGCTGGAATCACTACATTTTCTTTGACAAATGAAACACATCAAGAATTATCACCACCAATTCTTATGGTGACAAGTCCAACTGAAAATAAAAGCTACAATATGGATCTATCATGTCCAACGATCACATATAATCCTCATAATAATAATAAAAAAAATAATAAAAATTTGAGGGCAAGTTGTAGTAGTAGTCGGGGTGGTAGTAAAATGTATCAATTAACTGTAAATACTGAAGATTCAAGAGGCTTGTGCTCTTTATCAAATAAATTGAGACGTTATAGTGATCAAGGTGGAAGTAGACCGCTGACTAATGATCCGGATTATTCTGCTCAATATAAACGTCAAAGTTTATTCAATATTAACTCTGAGTCGAATGTTCGTGATTATTATAATAAGAGTAGCCTTTATCCTCCGACAAGAACAAAAAATACTTCATCTTCGAATGTTGATCTGTTAGCTGAAGCTATATTACAAATGAGTAGTACATTGAAAAGTAAGTCATTTTTTTATTGTGTGTTAAAACATCAATTTGATGTATTATAGGCATCATGAGAAACGCGACACAAAACTTTCTCTTTTTTGTGACAGCAATCGGATACTACCTAGACGAGCAGATAAAAGCACTGGGTTTTAAGAGGTCAACACTGAAACCCCTTCCGACCCTTCGACTTGAGTTGTAATCCACAAGTCAGTGAAACAGTGAGCTATGAGACCTACACCCCTATGGCTCCCAGAGTCTAAAACAGGTTTATCCTGTGTCATTTAAAACTGGCCAACATTAATTTTTCTTTATTAGTGACCTTCTCAACCTGTTGGTTATTATTTCACCTGTTATGTAACCTATGAGTTGTAGTCGTAAAAACAGGCTTCCTGTTAACATAAACAGAAAATTTCTCCTGTCCTCTCTTTGCCATCTCTTTAGTGTTGAACGTATCATGGTTTAAAATCTTTTGCGGCTAAAACTTCAACCACTACTACTGTTTGACCCAAATATGTTTTATATATAAGTTTAAAAGCAATGTTGAAATCAGGCTTATGACATGCTTAATGGTAGATGACGTTGCGAATCTATTTTTAGAATCATTTGAGTTGGATTATTTGACCTGATCTTGCAGCTATTGATGAATGTGTTCGGCAACACTAAACTGCAGAGATCGACCGGTTCTTCCCTATGACTACTCATAAATATAAATTTGTAAATACACTGGGAAGGGCCACTGTCTTTCAAATAACTAATACGATTTTTACAGGCCAGGATAAATTTTATTTTATCGATAAAATTGGGCTTAGCTCAAAGTAAAATTCAGCAAAGTGTCACTATGAGTAAGGTGTTTTAAAGTGTTCTTCTGCTTTCAACTTTTTTACATATGATTATCTCCTTAGACGAACTGAATAAAGTAAAAGAATTAGGTGCTAGTATGAATCTTTCCAAGACTGAAATCTTCCTTCTGACTTCAATTATTACCCAGTTATGTCAGTAGTACCAAGTTTGACCACAGACTGATGTCACTAAGACATTCACTGAAAACCAAGGATTACTGGACAGCTGTTCTGTCTAGTTCGAAAATCATAGGCAGTGCACACCCACCGGGATTCTAATCTAGGAGCTTCTGGTTACACCACTGGGTTGAGTCCCAGTGGCTGAATGCTCTACGACCAGTACTTACTTTCTGACTTTTAGTGGCTCTCAGCTGCTATTAATTTTGTTATTGTTCCTTTGGGTCCCGAGGGAAAAAAGGGCTTCATCAGCACATCTCCTCTTCATGCTACTCTCTGCTGCCCTCCTCAGCTGGCACCAGGATCGCTAATAGTCTCTCATCTCCTACACATACAATCTCACCCATGTCATCCTAGGATCAATACCTAAGTCATCGTTTCCTATTCGAGTTCCACTCGAGCTATGGCATGGAGTGCGATTTCGCTCATTGTTCTTCTCAGCGTATGTCTGATCTATCTCCATTTTCTTCTTCGGAATATTTGTTAGACGATAAGTTCTTGGTAGGTTCATTCCCAGGGTTTCTTGGTACTGCTTACCTCTGACCGGCCATTTGATCTTCACTATGGAGCAAAGGTACTTGTTGGTAAAAGTTTGCAATGACCAGTTTGAAATGGTTTTCATACAATGATTCCCTTTTATAATAATTTGAACAAAGAAGGAAGAAACATTGGCGCAGAATAATCTGGATCCATTTTATTTCGTGGGTTCTCATCAGCAGCTGCGTACAACCTGAACTCTTTAATAAAATAAGAATAAAAAGTGTACAATTTTAACAAAGCTTTGTCCATTAGCAAGCATATTGTCGCAGCGTCATAGTAAAATATATCTTGTTAGAGAGAAGTTTCTTGAAAAAAAATAATAAAAAGTTGTGTGGTTGGGGTGGTAACAAAAGAAAATTAGTAATAGTTACGTAATTAGATAAGAGAAGATCAAAATCCTAAAATTTCGGCGCACATGAGGAGTTGATTATGTAATACAGTGAGCAGAACTCAGAAGATCAAGAAAACGTTTTCTTAAGATAGTCAAGCAAAAAATTAAAGGGGGGAGTTAAAAGATATGTTAACAAAATTAGAAAACAAAGAGTTACTAAGAATTGAGTCACTAGGGTAATAGAAGTCTAACAACGGATTCTTTTTGGACACATAAATCAGGCTTCAATCGTTTTATTACTATAGCTTCAGCAAACTTGAGAAGATTTGAGGTACTTTGTCTGTTAATTATTTTGAATGATTCCAACACATTTACTCAGTGTCCTGTCTCAATCAGGTGTTTGGCGATTGAAGAGCTTAAACAATTCGGTCCCTTTAACCGGAGGCTCCTTGGTACATGTTCGCAGAATCTGACATAGGCCATCGTCTCTCTGTTCTTCCAATGTAACTGCTCCCGCAGATACATGTGAATCGGTATACACAGTTGGAGGTAACATGTGAGGTTTTCATGACATGCCATGTTTCTTTACCATTTTAAAGAACTTACCTAGCATTGATGCTAAAAATTCAAATTTTATTATTTATGATGGGGCGGGGTGCATGATGAAGGTGTGCCCTGCCTTCCGATCCTAGCTTTGACATCTTCATGCGTACCAACTGCCTGTAGTTGAAATGATGCTTCCAAGATGAATGAAGGAAGTGACCCTTTTCGGATTTCTTCAGCTGATAGCGATTGGTGCTGGTTGTTGTTTTCTTGTTATCTTCATCACCTCTGTCTTCTCTACGTTCACTTGAAGTCCTGTATTTACTGCTTGCCTTTCCTGTCAGCTTGTTTATTTTCTCTAGTATGTCTTTGGTATTGTGTAATATCAGTCAAACATATTCTTGTCTTCACGCTCCCATGCACGGTCTGGCGTATAATCTAGTTCAATACAATTAAGAATATCGTTGGTGATAGTAGGTGGCGGTCTTGTCTCAATCCTGTATTCACTTCAAATCCTTTACTGTTTTTTGCGTAGAGAATGCCACTTTAACTAATATCAATCTGCAGGCAAACTCAAAACGAATCAAATCCTTATAAACGTACCCTCTGATAACTAATTTAATGCTCACCACCGACTGGCTGCATTACAAAGTTGCCTGGATTTCTAATAAGATGTCGTGGCCAGTGGATTAAACCCAATCGAGAGTGAGGACAAATACTTGTCGCGTTAAATATCACAAGTGGTTAGAAGTTAGAATTCATGGGCTTGTGACTGAGTTGAGTCCTAGTCCGTCAATAGTAGTCTCAGGATCCAATGTTATCCTCAATTATCTTACCACATTACTTTGTTCATTAGATGAATCCCAGTTTGAGATTTTTATTGGCTGGATGAAGTTTCGAAATAGTCTATTGTTGTATTACTGTTTTAATCTATATTATAAATAAACTAATACGGGACTACATACTACCATAATTTGAAGGTTATATAGTGCATTTGTGGTAACCTTGATACGATATTGAATTCTACTTAACAATCATTAGGTATTCTGAACTAGTGTATACTATTGATTGGCTGAAATGATTAGTTAGGAACCAGTCACTTCATACATTGTCCTTGCTGACCACATGGTAGTGATCGAAACCCGTGCACTCATCAATGGCTGTGTCAGTGATGAGCATTTCTTTGGTCTTCTACTGTTTCACTCTGAGTTGTCTTCTCCAGTATCATTTCATCAAAATGTATGTTGGTGTTGTTATGACTAAAACAAACTCATTGTGGTCCAAACTTAGGAAAGAGATCTTTGAGTCCTACTGTGTTGCTGATAAAAACCTCCTTGAGACGCGTACAGTTCTATCCAATAATAGTAGTATTTCAAAAATTCAAACTTACCTCAACCATGCTGTTAGGCAGATAGCTATTATTATTTATTATTGTTTCCTTTAGTTCCTAGAGGAACATTGGGCTTCGGCGGCACGTCTCCATTGCGTTCAGTTCTCTGCCAAAGTTTTCACCTGGTTCCACATCTGCCCACATGCTTTCATTTCTCCTTCGCATAACCTCCTCCATGTCATCCTCGCACTGACGACCAATTGTCCGCTTCCCATTCTGCCGGATTCCACTGGAGCAATGGCCTGGCATGTGATGTCACTCACTTGATGGTTTGTTTTCTCAGAGTATGGTCAATCTACCTCCACATTTCCTTAATGCATATTTGTGGCACAACTGGTTCATATTGGGTTGGTTCGTTCATTTCCACAGATCTTTTCTGGCCAACCATCTGGTCTTTAGTAGTACTGAGGGAAGACAGCTGTTGATGAAGGTCTGTAGTTTGTTTGAGGTGCTCTTCATAACGCGCCAAATCTCTGATTCGTATAGTAAGTAGCACTGAATTCACATTGGAGTTGGGAATCCGAGTCTTATTTTTCATGCTGAGTGGTGCTATTAATCTGAACACAGACTTGAGAGTAGTGGAGGCTTACCTTGGTTTCTCGATCTTCGCTTTGATATCCTCATCGGTTCCGCACGCCTATAGTTGAAACTATGTTTCCCAGGTAGGTAAGTAGGTATGTAGGCAGGTAGGTAGGGGAGGTTGCTTCTTTTAGAATTTTGTCACTTATGCCGATTGTTGTCTGTTGTTGTTGGTGTTGTTGGCCAGGAATCTTCATCACCTCTGTTTTCTCTATGTTCACCTGAATTCCTTCCTATCTTTGGTGCTTCTTTTGCCGATTTGTTGCTTTTAACTTGAATATCTTCCAGTTTGTATGAAATCAGAGATATATATCACATCGAAATCCAGATCCTCCAAGTTTTTGTTTTGGTCCATTTTATGCTTGTTTCCTCGCTGCTCGCCGCTGTCCATCGCATTATCCAGTCTACCGCTTGCAATCAGGAAGATCATTGAAGATAGTAGGCAGCCTTGTCGTACTCCGTCTTCACTTCGTCAAGAGATTCTGTGAGTTTCCCGTTGCGGATTACTTGGCATGCGACGTTATCGTACAACTGTTGGATAAGGTTTACAACTGTTGGTGGCACCACATAGTAGTGAAGTAGTTTGCAAACCACCTATTGATCGATGCTGTCT